CCCCCCCCCCCCCCCCCCCAAAAAAAAAAAAAAAAAAAATAATAATAATAATAATAATAATAATAATAATAAATAAATAAATAAATAAATAACCAACAAATTGCAGAAGGGGCTCACAGCAAGGACAGCGAGGACATAAGAATAAGGAATATTTGCAATAGTACTGTCTCTGAGAAATATGGGAAGGGGGGGGGCCATCAACAATTCGCCGCCTATGGGCCTAACGTTCCTCATCCGCACTGAAACAGTTCATGAAACTCGAAGTAGACCTCTAATCGGTCTAACGTTACACGTACTCCCTTAAAAGGGCTATGAAGGGCTGAATAGGCCTGCGACTGGCCTAACGTTACATGTCCTCGACGAGATGTCTCGAAGGCCAGGGATTAATCCTTATAGGCCTAATTGCCCCAATAAGTCGAGGATTGAGTTTCTTTCGAATCGATTGAGTTTCTTTCGGCTTAGACCTGACCCGAAGACAGTCCGTCGGTTAGGTCTAGGCCTAACGTTAGTGAATTCCATAGAGAAGGGGGGGGGGAGGTGAGGTTGAGGTTGAGGTTGGGGTTGGGGTTGAAGAAAGGGAAAGCCTTTGAAAAATGTTTTTAACATTACTACATTTGTCAATGATTCACGTTTCACCTGACAGACTGAACAAGATGTGCTCGATATAGTGTGTCATTGCTCGATATTTGCTATAAGGAAAATCGTCTCACATATGATAACTGTACGAACAATATATGCGTCTGGTTGTCATAGGGTTCAATTCTTTTATCGGCTTGCTGAAGGCCCTTTCCTTCACATTTTTACTCCTCTGGGAACATGTATGCTCTTAACCGAGCGAATATTGCACACCATGACGGAAATAAAAGCACAAGCGTGTAGTACGTGTTATGCGTGATTTGTGCTACTGCTCAATGTATAGATAGAACAGTATTGTTGCGAAGTGTGTGCAATAGGTAAAAATATGCTGCAGATCGCACGCTTCGAGCCACAACCGCGTTGATTTCTTTTCGTTGAAAGACGACAAAGTTTGTCTGAATAATCCTAACTTCTCTTACTGTATTCATGCTAACCACAGCAATCCTGGAGAGACATTCCACTGCGATCGAGTGTCACACCAGGCAGAACTAAACAGACTGAAGATATGGACGGGAATATCGAGTTGCCAAAACCTGATGATGGAAAACCATAAAGACAGTGGCACACGATCCAATTTTCCGTCGGAGACACATCGGACAGGAAATTAGTCGTCGGAATCGGACACTCGCACACGGCCGTAGCCGTGAGAGAGTGTCCAACAGTTGCTTGAACCCCGGGTAAGGCGCAGGTTGCTACAGAACTTCTTTACTTGTAGGGTAGTAAACGAGCTGAATGGGTTAAGTGATGATGTAGTGTCTGCCCAGCCCCGTGACTAGTTTTAAGACGAGGCTTCATGCCTTCATGAACGGAATAAAAGGAAAGGGGGAAGCGTAACTGTAAGCGACAAGGCGGTAAGTGGCTCCGCTCCCAGAAAAATAACTTTCACTTAAAGAGATAGGCCTATCTTATGATGCGTGAACGCTCGACCTCAACATGGAAAGATTATGGGTAGATGCGCCTCTTGAAACCTTGCACCTTGAATGAGCAGTTACGTGAAAAACTATAACATAACATGCATGATTCAATAAACACTGCTAAAGTTTGTCAGTTGGCAGAGTCTGTCAGAGAATCTGACTTCCGGTCGTTCAGAGAGATAGGAGTAGATGTTTCCATCACGAACGCTGCCTTTCTGCAGTTAATTATCTTTTGGTTTGTTCTCGAGAAACTTTCTATTATGGGAATTTGCAGATCGAATAAACCGAATTCTCGCATTCTCTTTGCCCTGGCAGATTATCGAGAGATGCTTCAGCGTTCGGAATGGATGGAGACCATTTAATTAATTGGAGGCGAAAAGTTTGAAGTAAGCTTAACCCTTTGAGGAGTGTGCCCGTAAACAGATGTTTTCAAAGTTTTAACGAAATTTTAATATCAAGTTTTGCGTAAATTACCCTTTTTTGAGGAGATGAACATTTTTCTTTCAGAACATCCTCGGAGCGCGAAGATAACTCACTCATCAAAGGGTTAAGCCTGTGTTCAACCTGCGCAAGCCTGGCAATTGGTGCGACCTCCTTTTTGGCAGTCTTGCAAACGAGTTCACGGAACTATATATACTCATGATACCTGATTTAACCTCACGCAGGTGTGGAGGAGGCCAAGCTCTCAGTCTCTTGGAGTCCGAGGAAGCATTCGTGTTTCTTCGCACCCACGACTTGCGTTTTGTGAAGCGTGGATATGCGTATGTTCGAGCGTCCAGTATTCACAGCTGCAGTGGATCGTTGCGTGCGTCGCGAAGCGTCGCTGGATCGCGTTGCCTCCTCCTGCAATTCCACTGCTCCTTTTCGCATTTCTCCAGACGATCCGCCGTAGCGTCCCGTGTCCGAAGGGAACTGTCGACGTCGAAATGATCAACATTGCAACGGTCAACGTCATCTAGAAAAACTACGGCTGGTCCTCGGTGTCACCTGAAGTTCCCTCTCCCGCGGTTCGTCCGATTAGCGATTCTCTTATATAGCATGTTTATTTCCCCGTAATTTATGCAAGCAGTTTTGCATCCAGAACTCCTACCCTGTAAGGTCCCAAAAGCCGTCACTTTCCGGTCTCTCCTCGTGTTGCTTCACTCGAATCCGAAAGATTTTTTTTTAGACCTCTAGTTTTCTTGCTTCTTCTTCTCCCACTTTTTTTTAGTGAAGATTTTTTGTTGAAGTTTGTAAGAATATTTTGTTAATGTAGCAAATTTAGATTTTATTTAAATCTGCGATCTGCGTCTCCGTACTGATATGTCCGATCTGATGAGGAGTTAATATAAGGAAAATATTCGGTGCCTTGATTAAGTGGGTGAATGGGATGGGGATGGGCGTGAGGGCGTAAGCTAGAATAGGCGAAGGGCCGTCGATGGGTGTGACAACCATAACCTGACGCATGCTCATTAGGGTGGTGTGTTTCTTACGTGCGTGTGACAACCATAACCTGACGCATGCTCATTAGGGTGGTGTGTTTCTTACGTGCATACGTGGCCTCTCTCGCCAACGGGCCTCTCTCGCCAACGGGCCCCTCTCCATCACATAGTTCGTTCCAAAATTCTCATAACTTCATTGACCTGAGTGCAGCAAGCATGATAGGGAACGGCAGAAGTGAGTTCATATCGTCAACTTCGAGCCCAAGTTTACTGAAAGTTGCCCCAATTTACACCCAATAACGACGAGGCCTAAACGTTACAGTCAACTCTGAGAATATTGTCTAGCAGGCCTAATGCTAGGACAATGGGTAGCTAATGTTAGGATCAGCTTATACCATATGCTATGAATGTGATATGATATGATGGGTGAACTAAGGTTAGACCTGGAGAGTTCTTTCTTGGTTCAAAACTGGACATTTGCAACGCACCAACTTCGTCGAAGTTTAATGCATTAAAACAGACCATAAACTAGGTCTGCAGCGTCGTAAACGACAGTCATCAGCTTTCCTTTCAGAATAATCCCTAGTAGCATATAGCTTTGAAACAATGTTGATTCAATGTTATATGCTGCTAGGGATGGTTATAGGAACCAAAGTAGCTTGCCCAGATAATCCCAATGTTGACATGAAAGATTGGAAACCCACCCTGCATATATGAGCAAAAAAAAATTCTTTTGAGAATCGAACCTGTATAATGTATCCCAAGGGCTTATGACTCCCCAAACCCCCCCCCCCCCCTTGGACACGCCACTGCAGCCCAATGTTTTTTCGTATTTCTCATTACCTGACCATCATCAGAAATTCAGAATGAAACTCTCAAGAAACATTTCTCCAGCAGAATTAAGAGGACCTGCTTTAGGTCTTTAATTTCCAAATGACCATATATAACCTTATAAATGACCATATATACCCTTTGTTGCATAAGAGCAAACTACTGAAGGTAATTTTTGCAATTTTGACACGTTCCTACTTTAGCTGCACAATTGCTGGGTGGGAAAAAAATTATTTTAAAGTCAGTGACGTCAACGGCCTGGAATCCTTTGTTCACATATGTGGACATCATGACATAACGGGAGCAATATTTCCAGCTTTCACTCTTTGTTGCACCACGTTTGGGAACTAAAAAAAAATTCATTTTACAGTCCCCATTCCACACAACTATTACTAGGACATCATTTACATATTTTTGGACATCTCAACTATCAGAATAAAATCAGAGACGGTGTACCCTGCCAATCTCTAGTTTCTTATACATGCTTTCTTTCGGTATGGCATCCCCTGGTCGCCATAGGTGGAGGTCTCCCACATCATTCAATTTAATATGCATATAACTTACAGTGTTGGGCGCGTTACTCGTGAAGTAATTAGTTACAATTACAAGTATTCTATCCCGAAAAGTAATTAGTTACCAGTAGAACTACTTCTCACCAAAAGTAACTAATTACTAGTAGAAGTTACTTTTCCTGAACAAAATTTTGATCTTTCTACAGCTTCTCCACTTCTTTAACAGAAGCTGGATGCATGCACTGAAAGCAAAAGTTACCCCCAATTTCATTTTAAAAAATTGAATTATGATCATCACTGAACATTCCATTCAGTGGTTGAAAATGAATTTTCAATAACTTTTTAAAATGTACATGGTATTTTTATGGCACAATTAAGGAGATGATGGTGTTCCGACCATGAAATATGGGGAATTGGGTCTAAGGCGTTCATGTTAAAAGTAGTACAAGTTCACTTGCAAATCACTGTATGTTAGGTTAGGTTCTACACTTGTAAGTGCGAGTGCTAGGCTGAAGTATTAACGGAGTCTAACTAATGATGGATTGTTGGGAGGGTGACAAAACGGAGCATTTGAAATATGGAGAGATAACTAGGGTATACCTGCCCGCCGAGCTTATAGGGGATCGGACAAAATTGAATGAGATGCCAAAGTTAGACATACGAAATGTTTCCGTGCAGATGCACTATCAGAACCAAAGCAATGTCTATTATTAAGAACTAACATTAGACCAAAGGTTGTCTGTATGGTGTCAGGACACGATGGAGCTCATCTAGACATGCTTTCTCAAGGTAGATGCTGAAGTTCGTACGACAGAAAGTACCTTGGCCATCAGTAAACATAGAGAGCACTTCACACACAAGTTTGCACCTATGCAGCGGCATATTTTGGCTGAAGGGTCGGGGGCGGGGGGGCAGGGCAACAAACAGAGCCAAACCCCACCCGAGCGATATCGTGAGAGAAAATTATTACCTCTAAGGGGGCCCCAGGGGGAACGGCCCCCCCCCCCCCCTCCCCCCCCCCCCGTAAAATACGCCACTGCATCGATAGAATTCGTTCCTAACCTCCTGCAATTTGAAATATTTTTACAGGTACGGCCAAGAAACCTGCACTGAAAAACACATTGTTTCTCAAGGCAGTTTTATGTCCCCGCCTTTCCTCCCAATTTTACATCAATTAGGATGCATGTAGTCATGAAGCGCTGGTTGTTTTCAGCAACATTAGTTAGTCATCAAGAAAAGGAAAGCGTTACAGTAACGCCATACACTTTTCCCACGAAAAAGAAACTAGTTACCAGTTCCATTACCCTCCCCTGAAAAGTTACTTGTTACCATAAAAGTTGCTGGAAAAAGTAAATTAGTTACTGTAACGCGTTACTTTTACTTCGTTACCGCTCAACACTGCACTGCAGATAACAATTTTTGGAATTGTTGCTAAAGCAATGGAATGCACTTCTGAGAAAACAAACCTACCAATGGAGCAACAAGTTCTTCATCGGCATGTTATTGGCTACTGTAGCTCCTAAACTTGCTTCTCCACATTGGTGGACATCGTTATATGCATATTAAATTGAATGATGGGAGATACCTCCATCCATGACCACCAGCCCTACTGAAAAAAACCTCATGAGGTCTCATAGGATCCTCATTATCCTCATGAGAGCGTTTTGAAGCTTCATGAGGAATTCAGCAGATCTTATGAGAAAGTCGTGAGATCTCATAAGTTTTTAATTAGGTTTTTTCAATAGGGCTGCTAGCCCAGCCATTCATACAATAGGCCTAAGTCCACAACATGAAGCCTGGAGTAGGCCTTTAGTAGGTTGTAGCTTTGATACAAAACGGTCAAGCATAAATGTGAGGCTAAATATGATGAAACCTCATTTTTTGAGTTGTCCTAGGATGAACACGAGTCAATCATCCTTTTCTGAAATCTATATGATGCTTTGGATTGTGTTCCGAATTGAATGATTTCGATGCATCTGACTTACATGAGACCCATTTACTCGTCCCCGTCCCCACCTTAAAAAGATTTTTTTTCGGCAAATACCCTGTAGTTGTGGATCTGACCTGATAGCCAGGAAATTGGCATCATAGACATGGCCTATGTGTGGGCCTATCAAGACTGTCAAGTCCATCGATGACCTTTGGCTCGCCAGACGTTTCCCAAACGTTGCTCATTTATGTCGTTAGGGCAATTATCGGTCCGAAGCGTTTTGGCTGTCCGGGTTACGATTGTTCGCAAAAATTCTCAAGGACAAGGAGGTCGCTGATTTGGAACGCCTGGCAACAGCAGCTGACAGGGGTTCATGGGTGACGTGGGCGTTTATGCCCTGTACCTTGACAAGTTTCCATGCCTTTGAAACATGCAATTCGTTTGAAGGAGCCTTGCAGCTTTTCAATCATGGAATCTGATGTACTGGATTCTTGTCAGTTTCTTCCCGCTCGCCATATATTTCGCTTATTTCCTCCACTGAAATTTCGAATACCGCGTCGCGGTATTCGAAACCAAAAGCACGCCAGTGGAAATGAGTCAATAACTCATTCCCACTGGCGTGCGTTTGGTTGTTCGAGCCTTCCATATACAGATTACCTTTCAAACGGAGTAGATGACGTGGCCAGACGCAGTTGGAAATATTTTGAGTTAAGTTCAGCTACGCGAATAGACAGTTTATCATGTTTGACTTAAACACGCAACTATTTGTCTTGCGTTATTAATGGAAATCCTTTAATGATATCAGCCGGTGGGGGTCCCTTTTCTTTTTACCTAGGCAGAGAAAATACAGGGCAGTTTAAAATTTAAAAAAAACAACAAAGCTGTCATTTTTGGTGAGCTGTCAACCTGATTTTAGGATAGCGATTCTGATTAAATTTAGTTGGCATATAGGGTGACTCAATTGGAGTTTGTGTGCCGAATTTCAGCTTGCTAGCTTTAAAATTATGGGATCTGCAATTATTTTCAGATGACCCATGACAAAATATGCTCTCAAACTCGTATCAATATCAACTTGAGGTCCGTATTCATGGAATAGATGATCGCTTGTCACAATCAGCAACGTTAGTATGCTATAGTTAGGCTAGGCTAAGGCCAACTTACAATAAATATATAAATAATAGCCTAGGCTAACTTTCCGAATATTAACCAGAATTTCAAATTTTATATTAAAAATGTTTAAAATCTTTCTTTCCTCGCGTTTCAAGTGAAACTGCTTTGTCAAAAATGCCTAAAATAAGTGACGAAGATCTTGTTCTTATAATAATAATAAAAACTTGCGACTTAAAGAAGGGTATCGGGCAAGGAAAATGATGTGTGAATTTCCAAACAAAAATTGGCCAATGAATGGGCTTGAATATGTCATCAGAAAATTTGATGAATCAAGTGGCAACATTTTAGGTTTCAATTTAAAAAAAGAGCATTTGCTTTTTTGTGCTCAACGGTAAATTAGATACCCCCCCTTTTCTTTTCTTTTTTTTTTTAGTGGAAAGGGATATTGAAATTTGGCCCTTTTAGATTCCCCCCACCACCCCCCTTCGGGCTTATCTTAAATACGTTGAATCTACCGTCTGATGGAATAATTTTGCTTTTCAGACGCTCACTGGCTGGCAGGTGGATCGACCAGAAAATGGATCGTTATCGTCTCACTGCTAATTGTAAGTAAGATTACAGATTTACTGAAGCAAAACTTATTAAACCGATTGTGATGAAAGAGGCAGTGGACTCGTCCCTCTCTGAGGGAATGCCTTTTAGGGTTGCTCAAGGACTGATATAGGACAATTCTGAAAGAACTGAAAAGTAATTAGCCAATTGCAAAACGCGTAAATCGACCCCAAGTGAAAACTTTTGGTAAGATATTTTAATGAACCACTGTGTTGTTGAACTTGACGTAATGGTGAGACCTTTCATAGTCGCATGCAGTGTTATATTTCCAGTACCTGTACTGGCACCACTTATTTATTTACCGACCTTATTATTCAAATAAAAACACTTAGATTGACTTTCAAAATCAAAACTACGGTACCAATTTTTATTGGTTGGTATTTAATTCATCACCAAATAATATTGCTCTGTCACGAAGAAGTAATGATTCATCACCAGATTTTATTTGCTCACTCAATGAATTTACATCACCAAATTCTTATTACCGTCGCCAAATGATTTCATCACTGGACCTAATGAATCTTACACCAAATTCTCCCTCAGTATTTTCACCAGATACCTTGAACTGGCCACAAAATTTTATTGAGTTACCACCAAATCATTGTCACAGTTCATGTGTCAAAGGAAATAATATTTTATTTTAGCGGGCCTGCAGGACAGAGGATACTTATTATCCCGACTATGAATTAGCATTCCCGGTGAATGTTTGCAAATGTAAGTCTTGATCAAAACAGGACATGTGCATTCAAAATTTGGAGCTCTCACAACTCAGAGGGAGAGTCTTGTTCTCTTTAAGTTCTTCCAATGCTCCGGTTTTCTATTTTATTTTCAATTCAATATTTCGATTCAATAATTCATTCAATAATTATTCAATAATTCGATTCAATATTTAGATATTCTTTTGCACTTATCCGAATGTCTTCCCTTGTGGGGTTGCCGTTACTGCAGGCAATGAAGGCATCTCCTTGTTTCAATGTCCTCAAACTCTCTAGTTGCTAGTTGGCACCTCTAATACGTAGAGCACACAGAAACTGGAAGTCAGCGCCGTACTGAACCGTACTGAATACATGTACACAAGCGCAAGGAGACTCGTTACACAGATCCTCCCCCGAAGGTCCCTCAAAGCATGATATGATCATACAATCTCATCTTGCCATTACAGGTCTAATCGAAATAAAAAATCCTTTCCTTGACAGGATTGCAAATGCTGAAAATTTCATAAGTTTGATTATGAGAGCATTTTTTTGGTGCGGGCTAATGCAAATTTGGTGATACCAGCACCTGTGGTGGTGCAATCATATTTCGTGAAATCAAAAATAAGAACTAGGAGACTGACCCCTATATGGTGAAGATTCATGTTGATCTGGTGACGGAATCAATATTTCTGCAGGCTGAAAATGACAAGTTCATTATTATTGGTGGGTGATTAAATATCTCATTTTTATTTTGGGATTTACTCATAGACTCGACTTGTTGGGGAATGAAACGCTCTGTAGCGGTAGTTAAACCTGGCCTCCCATATTAGAGATATTCGATATTTGAGAGAAAAACCGCTGTTAAGCAAGAGGCTTTATGTGTGCCTTTCTTAGAGCAAAGTTTTTTCCGACATATCCTGTGCAGTTTGCGAATGAATCGGATCGTTTTTATATGTAGTTATCGCTTATTGCTTGAAGTCAGTTTGCAACAGGCACGTCTCTCTCGAAAGAGTTTTAACCCTTTTAGTACCACGCAGCCGATTCGTAGGCTAAAATGGACAATATACTGTATCGTTCCCCTGGCACTAAAAGGGTTAAGCACTGAGATTGTACTGAAGATATTCAGTCATAATTTTCCTTAACCCGCTAAGAACCAAGGAATGCCCACATGACAGATGTGGCATTAAAAGGTTCAGTCTTGACCTAAGGGATTTCTATTTTCGTTTGGGGCCAGCCGTATCCAAGCACTTGCCAAGAAAAATGAATCAAATATGTCAAATTAATAGCAATTTTTTCTTAAATCCCATTCTAGGTGGGCATAATAATAGGAATAGCCCTATGGTTATTCCTACCCGAGGAACAACAGAAGCAACTGTTGCTTCTGTTAGAACTGGTACGAATGCTGTTCGTGTTCGTGAACTGGATGATGGATACGTTTTTTCGCCCTCCCCAAGAACCACAACCACTCCCTTAATGACTGTCGCCCAAGTGCCATCATTCCAAAGGTACGTTTCCATAGTACTTAAATCTGGTACTTTTAACGATATGATCAAAGTATGTATGCAAAGCAATAAGATGTCATTTTTTCAGAGGAAGGATATCCAAGTCCTAATAATCAGCTGAAACTAATTAATTAAATTTCTTGAATGACAGCGCTACTCTTGAGGGAAAAAAAGCGTTGTCTGTAGACCTTCAATGGCCAGTTCTCGTCGGATGGGAGAACATTTAACTGCATTTTCTTGAAGTGTCAATGACACTTTCATTAGGGGATCCGTTTGTTTGTGCATCAGAATTATTATGTCATGCCTCTCGTGACCACGTAAGATAGCACAGAAGTAAAAATAGGCAGGAAATAGGAAAAAAATTAACCTTCAACCTGTCATCAAAGTAATCCTGAAGAAAATATTATCACTCATCAGTTAGTATTCATACGCTACTCCAAAAAGCTAACGCAGAGAAGCAGAAAGGGCGTGAACCCATCCATGTCGACCCATCAACTGTCGGCCTCGTCGAGTCAACTGGAAGAGCCGTCATGTGCTCTATATTGAGTAAAAAATTAAAGAGCACTTCTCAACAATAATGAAATTATTCTTCACTGCGACTCGGAATCCCAAGATATGAACGAGAAGAAGACCCATGCTCTCCCCAGAAGCATACGGGGGCGCTCATTATTTATTACAGGAAAGGCTCATTCTTAGGACCTATAGATGAATGCTATTCAATATTTCCCAAGTGAATAATCCGATATTGTACATTCTACACTACAAAGTTGAGAATATTACAATATGCCAATTTTAAAGTTTGAGGATTAGGCTCTGCGTTCCACCAAGCACTTTATTAATGCGTCATAGTTTGTAAGAGAGAATATTCTACAATTAAGGTTATGGTTCACAGACGCGCGGTTTTACCACCCCTTCTTCAACGCGCTCTTGCAACATGGTTTAAGAGTTTCAACCGGTTGTTCATAGATGAAAGTAAGGTCATTCACACGAATAAAATGTTTATATAAGGCATGCCTAGCAACTCCTCCCCAAGGCGATGGTAGACAGCCTCAAAAACGAGTTTTGCGAATTTTGCTCGTCCGCATGTAGGGAGACGATCTTGGGAGGAGAAAGAACTGAGAGACTTTACTGTGTTTTGTCGTGGATTTTCAATGATCCCTTCACGAAGGGAAATAAACCTTAAAAAAAAAAACAAACGAACATAAATTTGACATTTGCATGAACTTAATTATTCACTCCTATTCCTAGAATAGCGCAATGAATCAAAAAAGTTTTCATACAAGACACGGCCCAATCCTTCTATCAATAGATTAATATGCAATGAAGAAACTGGAAGTACAGGGTGACTCTATAGAAACTTCCGCACTTTAGCACATAATATCTATATCTAGGAAACGGTATGACAGGAAGTTGAAATTTCACGGGGGTGTTATGGGAACCATGCGCTCAAATATGCCATAGTTATCACATGTTGTAATCACGGGAGCCACTGTGACTTAATGTCTCACTAATCACAGCAACTGTTCAATATGTGCTCCTTCAGTGTCCAGAATGCATGACGAATACATTTCTTCAGTGGGACTGCAATGTTCTAGTACTGTTTGACTCTGTATCTGAGAGTCTTACTGAAACAAGTTCTAGTGGTACGCAGCACACACAAACAAAATTTGCATTCTGGTCTCTGAATGCGGTGATATGAACTTACTGTGAGGTTTTTCAGTTGAACCAAGGACGGATGGGGTTTTGACTCCCAGATGTGTGAACCATGTGTGAACCATGTGTGAATCAGCAAGACCCCACTTCAAGTTCGCGATGATTCACGTATGAAGCATCAATAACCTTACCATGCTGGCATTTCACTGCCATTTCAAGGATGCACACGGATGCATTTATCAAGGAAATCAAGACCCATATTTCCTTACTCATGCTGTCGGGGTTGGTCGTTGGTCTTAGAATGCTGTTATTTGGATTTTTTTTTGTGTGTGTGCTGCGTACCACTAGAACCTATTCCAGAGAGACTCTCAGATGCAGAGTCGAACAGTACTAGAACATTGCAGTCCCACTGAAGAAATGTATTCGTCATGCATTCTGGACACTGAAGGAGCACATATTGAACAGTTGCTGTGATTAGTGAGAAATTAAGCCAAAGTGACACCCTTGACTACAACATGTGATAACTTCGGCATCTTCGAACGCATGGTCCCCGTAACACCCCTGCGTAATTTCAGCTTCCTATGTCATTCCATTTCTTATATATTGAGTGCATAAGGGCGGAAGTTTCTTTTATAATTACCCTGCACAATAGCTGGTATGGTCGTGAAATATTGCCCCATGAAGCAACTTATTCTGCTATAGGACGAAGATTTTTCCTGTCTCTTTCTTTACGCGACACCAACTGCTTTTTTGAGCGGCCGCTTAGAGGCTACAGTATCAGACCTCCTCACGCACCTCACTCGCTCGTCCCGCCCGGCTGAAGGTGGAATATTGGCTCCCGATTTTCCTTTCCCCTATCCCGCTCGTATGACGCATCCTCTCTCTTCTTTGAAGAGAGCGGGATACGTCACTTCCCAGGCTCATTTTCCAGCAGTGGCGTGCCGAGAGTTTTTGCCAAGTGGGGCAGTCTCAACCCAATGAACGCTCACCCGCGCTTTCACCTTGGTTGCACAGTGGCGTAACCAGGGACTTACTTTTTGGGTATAAGGAGGTTCAAGTTCCATTTCCCAAAAATAAGGAGGGAAGAAGTGCCGAGTTCATATAGTTGGAACAAAAGAGCAAGAAGGGGTAGGAGGCAGAGGGCCCACATGTCCATCGGTCTGCATGCCACTACCTTTAGCAACAGAACTTATTAACTCATCCTTACCTCTGATCGATCTCTATGACTGCTCTTGCAAATGAAACATGTACTGTAATAATAATCCTCTCCCCCCCCCCCACCTCCCCTTTAATCCGCCACTGCATGCCTATGCTATTCCTGTTATGGCGGCCTTCGTCCTCCCCCTGTCTACACCACTGCTCCGATGATGCCATGATAAATGGAGAAGAACTTTTTGGCCTCCGTGTTTTTTTCTCGTCCTGCTTCATCGTTTCAGCACCGAAGTACTGGAGAAACATTCAGCACTTTAACTTCGCACTAGCCTGAACATTTTATGGACCCTCTATCACCCACCCATCCCTAAGAACAGGTGGGTAATCTCAATGACAAGCATGTGACAGACGATTCCGACGTGGAATGAGCGTTAAATCGAAGTTTCCATTTGATATGGCAAGATAGCAATCTCGAATCGAACGAAATCGAATGGCATCACAGCTTTTCAACAACATGACTGCTTTCCAATAGACGACGGTCCCTGCGCACACGCTTTTATGACGCCAACAATACCATGACAACAGGATTTTTAGCTGAGCAAACGCGCACATGCGCTGCGATGTGCTGAATCAACCCAGGCTTTCAAAACGCAATCGACAAGCACAACCAACTTCATAACAAAGGAATCATGTTCCTACCCGGTTTCCCCATTTAACATTGATTGAAAAAAACTATCCGGAAAGATTGCTCCTCCCTCTCTCGAGAATTTGAAGAGAGAACACATTTTGATGAGCAGTCGCATGGGAATGTCTCGAAGTAAGGGGTAGGTCGACGGAATTGAAGAATTCAAGCCAGTGACGATGACGCATCTCGCTGCATGGACACGTCAGGAGACTGTTGCGAAATGCGAGACTAGCATAGTACTAGGTATATAATAATATGTTGCAGTAGTAATAGCTGACATTTGTCCATCTGTCCGCCGGAGGCCAGCACGGGTCCGATTGGCCTAATTCGAATCATGGCCGAATCGATCTGAAATTCGATGGCTCACCGAGACTTCAAAACTCGAGATCTCTGCGTATTCGCCAAAACCCAACCAGGATAATTGATTGGCAACCTAAATTAACAAGACGCCTAACCTGTGGAGCCGTCCAATCGAGCCGATCAGTATCCCGTGCAGAGCTTCTAGTCATCCCCCACTCTTCATCCATACCTGGACACTCGAAACGACGAGTCTGAATTGAAAGATATAAGGACTCGCTGAAAATTTGAATTCAGACAATTTAGGGTATCCCTCATTACGGAACGCATTTCCTATTATCGATTCAAAGCGTGGCAATTTGAAATTCGAACGTTGTCTCTTAGGAATACTAAGACAAAAATCATTGCAATTTGTTGTAAAGGGGAATTGGAGGTCTCTGATACCTAGGTGTTCCAAATTTGTACGGTGTAATTCATTTTAATACTATGGGACGGGACTTCCTTCAATTTGAATGGGGGCATGAAATTAATTATGTTCCATAAAAGCCCATAGACAGATCTACTGCAGGCAGAGAAACAGCAAATATACGTACGTCGTTCTGGTTTTGAAATTTTCATTTCGGAAAGAGGCTTGGAAGAAGAGAGTTTCGGACAAGTGGTAGTTGCTTTGAATCGTCGGTGTCGCAGGCAGGTGGAAGATCATGGGCATAAAGGCCTGAAATACAAAGCCAAGGCGCAGCCACGGATCTCGTCACGTGCGTCTGACTGTCTCTCTCCTTCTTCCTAGCCTCCTTCCTTGTCAAGAAAAATTATCCGTCTCCTCGCGCACAGTCTAGATGGACTTAGAGGTCTCATAGGAAAAAAGTGAATTGAGGGAAAATTTGTTAACTCCATTTTTTGGGGAATCATCTTGGATTTGACCAGATGTAGACTTACAATGGCACAAAGCATTCGAAAGATTTTTATGAATGATTGTGATGGTTGCCGCTTTTGTTCTCTTTCCAGGTGAAAGAAGATTCCATGACAGACTCAGTGCATCTCTTTCTGTAATCCCTCCCACATCCACCTTCCAAAACGAATAGGAAACAGATAATGTACTCCTCGGAACTGAGTAGATTTTATGTTTCACATAGTAGAATGTAGATGTGAAGGCTAGATTACTCTCCCTGTCTGTGTAGAATCTTTATTTCAAGATTGACTTTTTTTACTTCTTACCACAAGATTATTTCTTTCATCATGAAAAAATTATGCGTTTTTTGGGTCTATTAACCCCTTTTGCGTTTTATTACCCCATTGTTTTCACCTGTGCCCTTTTTTCTCATTCCATTTGGCTTTTTTTTGCTATGAATTCAAATTCCTTGCACACACGTCTGAATAAAATTAATACTAAACTATTGTGGGATATACAATATTTTATTACTACTTATCTCGGGCTTACCG